TCGTGTTAATGAATAAAAACATACTATCATGTTGTATCGTGTTGGGGTTAAGAAAATGTAACTTTTATTGTGTCATGTTAGGTAAAAATACGAAGCAAATGCACGATTTTCCACTGCTACCTATAATTGATAAAACCTTAAAATACTGATTTTTCAACCATCTCTATTGATTCACATCAAATAGGTACTCAGAGGCCTTTCAAACCATGAAACAAAGTTTTTCAAGACAGCTCGTCCGGAATTCAACCAGAGGAACCCTAACCCATACGTGTTATTTGCTTGAACCCTAAATGTCAACACAACACGAAGTATGACAAATCTTAATATTAAAAATTGAGCAATTCATGATTCAATCCATATATTTGGCAAAGTCATGCATCTTGGGAGGACGATGATTATTTAATAAAAAATAATTTTAAAAAAATAAATTCATATTTATAAATATTACTTTACAAATCTTTAAAATAGTCTCTATGTTTTTTTTAATTGCGTTCGGTCCTTAACTTTTTAGGTCATCAACGATGGTCCTTGTAGTTAAAACTTTTAATGGTTGGTCTTTTTATCTAACTTCGTTATTTTTTCTATTAAGTTAAAACAAGTGAGGTTAAAAACGTCTTTTCCATACCATGTGGACCATACATTCTAGCACATCCTTATTTTCTGTAAAGACAAAACTGCAAAAATGGTCCCTGTGGTATACATTTTTTTGGGGTTTTAGTCCAAACCCCGACTTTTTTGGATTGGTGGTCCTTTTGAGCTAGTTTTGTTGCGGATTTGGTCCCTCGATAAATTGAAATGACATTAATGCCCTTGGGGATTTATTTTCTATTTTTAAAATCATTTTTTTATTTTTAATAATTATTTATTCATTTTAATAATTAAAAAAATGTGAGGACCCACCTCTCTCTCTCTCTCTCTAGAAAAAGAAATACACCCAATTCCCCTGACCCCCATCTTCTTCCATCTTCCATCTTCTTCCTTCTTCCACCTTCGTCCTTTATTGTTTTTCTTTTAACAGACCTTGTTTCAACAAAACGAAAATCAAGAGAGAAAAAACCATCGTCTCTCCTCCATAAACTATCATTCTCTGCCTCACAACTCTACATCTATATGTTTTTGTGTATACCTACATCAGTGTATTTGGTCTCTGATTTGGCCCTTTTATCCCCGATTTCGTTCCAGTTACATTGGATGGACTTTAACTTGTTGGTTTGAAGTTGTTTTTGTATATAATGTTGTTTATTGGAAAACCTTGGTAGTGATTCCAACAAGTGTCAACTGGTGGAGCTTGTGAAAGACCTAAGATCCGACACAAATGAAGGAGGTGGCGGCTAGTGTGATTTACCTCGGTGGAAATAAGGAGGGCGGTCGAAGCAGTGGGTCACGACAAGGAGAGGGTGAAGTGGGCTGAGAAAGACGGTGGCAGTCGGTGGTGCTCGCTCCGGCGACTCCTGCTGCTTCTCTTTATTTATTCCAACGAGGTCGACAAATGAGAGACGAGGGGAGAATGAGTAAGGGTCGGGGATGTTTGGAGGATGTTTGGGGATGTTGTACTCGACAAAATAAACACGGTGGTGGTGGCTTTTTACCATGACAGCGGGGAGTGGCGGAGGGATATGCTATAGTGGCCGGCATCGGTGGTTCTTGCTTGTAAGTGAAGAAGAAGGAAGGGGAAGGATGGTCCGGTGAGAGAGAGAGAGAGAGAGAGAGAGAGAGAGAGTGGGCCCTTTTTATTATTAAAATAATTATTAAAATAAATAAATAGATATTATATTAAGAAAAATCAAAGAAAAATGAAAAATAAATACCCAAAGGGTATTACAGTCATTTCAGTTTACTGAGGGACCAAATCCGCAATGAAACTAGCTCAAAAGGACTACTAATCCAAAAAAGTCGGGGTTTTGACTAAAACCCCAAAAAAATGTATACCACAGGGACCATTTTTGCAATTTTGTCCTTATCGACATTCAGTCTCATATGAGACAAAAAAAAAAAAAAGAGGAAATCAGTCCAAATAAATCCAAAATAAAGCAAATTTACATGAATATCATTTATATTAAGGGGAGCTTCTATGAATCTATGATGATTTCCAACGAAATTTTTGGGGAAAAAAAAACAAAAGGTAGAATATGGTGATGAGTAAAAACCAGATCACAACTTCTTTAAATCATCTAAAAACAATTATTTTCTTAAAAATTATGTTAAAGAAGTGAATCTCACTGGTAGAACACAGTAATGAACGAACACAAATTTCTAAATTCCTCATCTAATCCCTAACAAAAAAGATTCATGTGTAGAAGGAAAAGGTAGTAAGATGTGGGAGCATACAATATGCACTAAAGAAGTGAATCCCAACTACACTAAGATTATACCCAGAGGACATCTCTCCTAGTTTTCGCATTTATATCCACAAAAATATCCATTTATTAAAAAAAAAAATACCTACTGCGATGATCTCGACTTTCTCGGTGGTGACAGCTTTCTGGCGGGATCAAACGCCGAAACTGGATTTTTTTCTTCTTCATATTCTTATCTTTATCCTGTTAATACATACTGAATTGAGTTTTCATGACGATTCATAGGGGTTATGAATGGAAGATTGGTATAAAAAATCGAAAGAGAACGGAAGTAAAACTACTCAACGTGAATTTCTGGAGAAGCTATCGGTTACTTTCTATATTACGGATTTTCTATACTACGAGTGATCAGATTACAAGTGCAGTTTTAGCCTTGTATTATTGTAATTTTCTTGGTGTTAATAAAATCTCGCTCCCTCGTTAGCTTGTGGATGTAGGTTAGATTATAGCGAACCACGCTAAAATATTGTGTTCATTTTTCGTTTGCAATTTTAGTAGCGTTTATCTACGAGTATTACCGAGATCGTTTATTGTTTTGTCCGAAGTGCTTAACTTTTTTTTTTTGCGTTCCCAACAAACTGGTATCAAAGCTATGGCTAAAGATGGCAAGGTTAAGATCAACAAATTTGATGGTATAGATTTTGGTTTCTGGAAAATGAAAATCGAAAATTATCTCTACCAGAAGAAGTTACACCTACCATTGTGTGAAAGTAAATCAGAAGCGTTAGAACATGAGGAATGGAACCTATTGGATCGGCAAGCTCTTGGTGTAGTTAGACTGTCACTGGCAAAGAACGTTGCTTATAATATTGTCAATGAAAGAACAACTTTTGGGCTACTCAAGGCGTCGTCTAACATGTATGAAAAACCCTTGGCGGAAAATAAGGGTTTTTTGGTCTGACAGTTGGTAAATCTGAAGACGAAGGAGGGTAGCTCAGTGACAGACCATGTGAATGAATTCAACTCAATAATATCAAGATTGATATATGTGATATTGGATTTAAGGATGAAGTCATGGCGTTGTTACTATTATCATCGGTGCCCGATAGTTGGTTCGATATAGTGATGACAGTTAGTAGTTCAATCGGAGGTGTTAAGTTATCATTCAAAGGTATCCACAATTTAATCCTTTGTGAGGATTGTAATGTCCGTGTTTCTGGGCTAAGCATTAATGATGATGTAATAGTCTAGGTCAACCATTGTAACTTGTTTTAAAGTAATAAAGATGAATTACTTGAATATTATGTGAATTATGTGTTTTTGTGCGCTTATTACTTGTTTATAATAATATAATAAAGACAAAACTTCAAAAGTGGTCCCTGTGGTTTTCAAAAAATATAAAGTTTAGTCCCTAAGTTCAAAAAACCTCACAGATTGTCCCTGTGGTTTCAAAACTTTTAACATTTGGTCCTTCCGGCTCATTCCGTTAGCATTTCACCGTTAACTCATTTTTTAATTTTATATTGCAGGGGTAATTTCGTCATTTCAGTTATAACCTTCTCTCTTTAATATGAAATGATTACCTATTGCTTGCATGTCACTACCCGTCCCTCTCCCAAGAAGATAACCAGTTACATTTGTATTCATCGGGTTCATTCCCATCGTAGAAGCAAGAACAAAAATTGGGATTTAGGGTTTTAAGCTGCAAGAATTGCAATGGTGCTATCAATATGGTGTTTTCGAGAAAATTTTGTAACCATGGAGGACTTAGGAAAAAGATACGGTACAATACTACAACAAATTTTGTTTTTTCTTGGTCAATTATGTTCACGTAGAGAAATCATTGATTTTACTCTTTTTTTTGTGTTTGCAGAAGGATATGACAACTATTTCATGTTGAAGATACAATACAGTGGTATCTTCACCAAAGCACCTGGAAGGAAATACGTTGATGGTGTTGTAGCATATGTAGATGATGGTGACAGTAATTTATTTTGAGTTCATGAGCTTGAAGACATGGTCCGAGAACTAGGGTACAAAACTGAGCAAACCCTTTACTACCATTTATGTATCCCTGAATACCCTTTGGACTATGGCTTATTGACTTTAGGTAATGACCAAGATGTACTTAAAATGGTATCATCTATCCCTAAACACAAACTTATTAGGGTGTATATTGAAACTGGCCAGACAAGAGTAGCTAGTTATTACAAGTCTCCTTCTAAAGTTGTTATTGAAGAGTTGGAGCCTGATAGTGTGTCACCTGAAATGAATTGAAAGAAACCTTGTAGGAGAGAAGCAAGATCATGTAGTAGAAAGCTTGATCTAAACAAGTCTATGAACTCTGATTATGAGCAGTCACAAGTATTAGATGTTGATGAAGGGTATGATTACTCAAAGAGTATTATGCCATTTATAAGGTCACAAGCTAGCAAAAAAAGTCATGTCATTCAAGAGGAAGTGGTGAATCATGAACTTGAAACTCAAGAAGAAGTGATCACTAGTGCAGTTGAATTCGAAGAACCATTGGGAACTTACCATGTACAAGAACCAAGTTGTCAAGCTGATAATGGAGCTAATACTGCAAAAGTTGATGACTATGAACCATTTATAGAGGATTACTCACTTTATGTTGATTATGATGTTGAGTTTAATGTTCAAACTTCATTTGAATAACATCCAGAAGTGGATTATCTAGAGGGTATGGTGAGTGATGATAATGGAGAGGCTTTCTATTCTGAGAGTAGCCATGGTTCTGAGGATAGCGGAGATGATTCTGATGACAGTGAATTCAATGTGTATGAGTCTAACATACAATTTGATGTAGATGTAGACATGAGGGAATTCCATAATGTTGTTGACGTAGATGAACATGGAATCTTGAACAATCATTCAAAATATGAAGGGAATGCCATGGTTGATGATGAGTTGGAAGTTATTGCCACCGATGATTATCAATTTGCAGGATTTCATGAAGATGATAGGAAGAGACTGCTAGAAGAGTTGAGTAAGTCAAGTACATGCTCACATGGAGAGGTTCATGTAAAACCATTTCAAATTGGCCAGGTCTTCAAAACCAATCGTGATGTTAAAAACTACATGAACTCACACGCTATACAAACAAGGAGGTCTATATACCTAGCAAAAAATGACAAGATCTGGATTAGGGTGAAATGTAAAGGTGTTGTAATTAAGCCATCTAAAGTAGTTGATGGTGGTGGGCCCTCAATTAGAATTAGGGCAAAGTGCAAGGGTAAAGATGTAATTGCCAATAAATGTACATGTCCATGGGCAGTCCAAATATCGAGGGCTAATGAAAATCATGATTGGTTGGTGAAAACAGTGCAGGATGAGCATAAATGTTTGCAAACAAGGGTGGTTAAAGCTTGCACTTCCAGATACGTAGCAAACTTAATTGTTCAACAAATTCAGAGTAACCCTAAAATTCCAGTGAAAGCTTTACACGAAGAGTTGTGCAAGAAACTAGAGGTAGGAATGTCATTGCAAAAGGTTACTAGGGCAAAGTCAATGGTTGAACGTACCATTAGTGGGGACTACCAAGTACAGTAAGGATTTTTGAGGGATTATGTGTTGGAGCTACTCAACACTAATCCTGGTACAACAGTTCGGATTGATGTGTATCCATAAACCTCCCTATCTATTACCACAAGAACTTTTAGAAGATTATATGTCTGTGGGTGCATTGAAGTTAGGATTCAAATCTGGGTTAAGAGATTTTCTAGGTCTGGATGGTACTTTCATGAAGGGCCCTTACCCTGGGCAAGTGTTAACTGATGTAGGGTTGGACTCAAACAATGGCATATACCTTGTATCATATGCAGTGGTAGAGACAGAATCAACAAGTAGTTGGACCTGGTTCTTCGAACTGTTAGGAGAAGATCTGGATCTGGGAGCAAATTTAAACTTTACATTCATTTCTGATAGAAAAAGGTGTGTATCACCTAACTTCTTTTAGTGCCATTTCTAAATACATTTAGGTAACTAATGTTGCATACATTGACTTTTGTTTAGGGAATAATACCAGTAATGGAGAAGGTATTCCCTAGTACAGAACATAGGTTCTGTTTGAGGCATATCCAGGAAAACATGAAGAAACAATGGAAAGCAGAAGACTTAAGTGACCAGCTTTGGGAGTGTGGTAGAGAAACAACAGTCAATCATTTTAACAGAGTAATGGATGAGTTGCAGAAGATCAATGAAGAGGCTCATGCTTGCGTGTGTAAGATCCCAACAAACACTTGGGCTAAACCTCACTTTAGTGGTAAGTTTCTAGAAATTTATTGATAAATTTTAATCTTCCTTGTTGTGTGTTTACTATATGTGTAATTGTCATCTCTTAATATCTATTATTCAGGACGGGCACATACTGATTGTTTGTTGACTAACCTTTGTGAGGTATTCAATTCCAAGCTAGATGAAGGTAGGGATAAACCTATTATCACTTGCTTAGAGTATATTAGAGAGTATCTCATGAAGAGGTTATGTGTGGTGCAAAATGAAATAGATAAGTGTGAAGGACTTCTAACCCCTAATGCAACTACAGTGTTTGAAAAGATTAAGACTGATGCATCTAAGTATGTGGCTAAATACAATGGGGCAGGAAAGTACCAAGTAGCAAGCACATGGTAAGACCAATATGTGGTAAACTTGAATGACCAAAGTTGCAGTTGTAGGTTTTAGGAGATTACATGTTTCCCATGTAGACATGTTATTTGTGCTATATGGGAAAAAATTGAAAATGGTGAAAATTCCCCACATGTTGATGAATGGGTCCATCCTTGCTATAGGTTATTAACATGGAAATCCATGTACTTCAACAAAATTGATCCATTTAATGGAAGTTCAATGTGGCCTAAAAGTGACTGTCTATTCACTTTACTTCCACGAAAACATAAAACACAGGTTTGTATTTCAAGTAGACCAATTATATAGTAAACATGTGAACATGGAATGAATTCAATTTTAACTATAGTGTATCGATATGTGTAGGTTGGAAGGCCTAAGAAGAAGAGAAGGAGGGGTTTTGATGAGCCAAACAGCCAAGCTGGTAGACTGAGTAGGAAATATCTAGCAGTCACTTGTTCTAAGTGTCATAACAAAGGGCACAAATCCACATGTAAAGGGCAAGGAGGTAGTGGTGAAGTTGGAGGGGGCTGAAAAGTATTTTTTAGTAGTTAGACCTGGTGCTAGTGTTGTAGGTCTTTTGAAATTAATGTCATGTGTAATTGTTTGAAGATGTGTTAAGAACTTTTCAGGAATTGCATGTAATGCTTGTGTTGTAGGTCTTTTGAAACTTAAGTCAAGCTTGTGTTGTAGGTCTTTTGAAACTTAGTATGATGGTTGTGTTAAGAACTTTAAAATTTTGCATGTAATGGTGTGTATGCAGTATGCACATTTTGGTAATGAATTAATCTGTTTTGTGTACTACCCTTCACAAATCAATTAATAACATTATACATTTCAATTGCAAATCAAAACCATCTTGCATGAGCATTTACAATACATTTACCAATTGCATTTCAAAAACATTCAAGAAATTGAACAATCAACTATTACAAACTACATCCCATTACCATTACCATTACCACTCCATTTCACATTAATCTGATACATAAACCAAATACAACAACACCAATTCCAAAACCCCTACATAAAGTGACAGCAAAAAAACCCTATTCGTTAAAAAAAACCATGCAATGGTTGCAAACCAAAAACCAAAATTCCATTACCATCCAAACCTTCACAAGATACTTAGAGATTAAAATAATACCAAAAAAACACCCATGAACAAAACAACATCAGCTGGTAGTTCCATAATTCTGCACTTGCAATGGCAACCCTCTCTTCCAATCGGTTCATTGATCTTATCAAACCTGGAATCACCACCAATTCCCTAGCACACATAGGAGGATCAGACCATCGAAGGAACCCACATCTTGTATAGTTCCAAAATTGTCTTACAGGGTTACGATCCATCCATGAAGTGATCTTCATTGCTTCATTCCCATCTGCAAGTCACCATCTTTGAATCAGAAGCGATTAGATGTCGTGGGGGTGCAACGGTCGAGCAACAGTGGAAGGGAGAAGAGAGATGGCGGCTGATAAAGGTAAAGGGTTTACCCAAAAATCAGACATGCAATTTCTTTTAAAAAGAGAAGGTTACAACTGAAATGACGAAATTACCCCTACAATATAAAATTAAAAAATGAGTTAACGGTGAAATGATAACGGAGTGAGCCGGAATGACCAAATGTTAAAAGTTTTGAAACCACAGGGACCATCTGTGAGGTTTTTTGAACTTAGGGACTAAACTTGATATTTTTGAAAACCACAAGGTCCATTTTTGAAGTTTTGTCTATAATAAATAAAGGATAAAAATAAGCATAAAAAATAAAATGTTAGATAAACCCGATATCTATGAAGAAAGTTGTAGTGGTCGTGACAAGGATTTCAGAGATATAAAGAATGCCGAAATCCGAGTTATAACGAACAAGTTATGGTTTGTCGAAGTTTTGCGACAGAACCGACATGACATTGCGTGACGTAAATAGTGAATTTATGATAGAGGACTTTTTAGCCCTATCGATCTAAACAAAATTCATAGTGTTCGTTAAACCAATGCCATGCATAAAAAGAACGCCCAAATCTGACTTCGTATGAGGAACTTATGATTTTTCTAAATTTCGGATCGGCAGTGCACGACCCGAAGTTCGAATAGTAGATCGGTCAATTTTTGGCCGACACAACCTAAACGAAAACAGACATCAGATGAAGAAGTTATGAATTTTTAACGGACTTTATAGTCCCGGCCTGTTAAAAATAAAAGTATTAAAATAGAATCAAAATTAGCCGATGGAGTCTAAATGAAAGTTGTAAAGTATAGTCTCACCTACGCGTGAGTACAAAGAACGTTGGAGATGGAGCTCGTATACAAAAGTTATGAATTTTAGAAGTCGATACGAGAAATTGTAAGCTGATGTGAGGGGTACGCCCAACGTACCTTCAGATGCCTTGCATACTGAAGTACACCCTGTGTACGAGGAGGAGTACGCTGCACGATTTGACTTCTCCTGCGGTCCAAAATAAGCCACAATGCTCCACCAAATATCTGACGCTTGTTACTACGCCCCGCGTAGATCCGAGGAACGCCCCGCGTACTGCGAGGCCTCGACACTATAAAAGGGGGTGCGAGGCAGCCACATTTCTCACACTTTTAAGCTATCTCTTTCTCACTCTACTCTCTCTCTCTCTCTCTCTCTCTAAGTTACTCTAATTCACCCCGAAGCCTAGGAAACCTCCCTAGCATTAGAAGAAAGCCCCGGAGCGTCCGAAGGCTCCAAGAAAAAGAGTTTTTTTGGTTTGAAACTCTACCCGCGCGGAGCCCGGTGTTCAAGCAAACTTTCTGGTTTCATTAGAGAAGATTATTTTAAGAAGCGAAGTGTTATCCGAATCACTCATTATCAGGTGAGCGTATAGCCATTTTCATCTTACACATAGATATAAAGTATTTTATATACATTACGTGCTGTGTGTATCTATAAATGTTGTCTGTTTACCTAAGATGTTTGTTGGATGAGATATCTATACCTTTTTCTTTTCATATATGAATTTCTTCCTTCATATCTAAACATTTTCTTCCAGATCTGAACTTTCTTGTTTAGATCTAGATTTTTCCTTCAGATATAAACTTGTTCTCTTTAGATCTAAGACTTTTTCCTCAGATCTGTATGGTATATGTATTTTTGTCAGATCTAAACCTTTTCTTTCATATCTGAACTTTTTCCTTCAGATCTAGACTGTCTCACTTCATATCTGAACTTTACAGATCTAAAACCAATATATGGATGATTTATACTTGAGATCTATTTTAAATGAAAGATAAAAACTCCGTTTTCATATCTAAGTTGTATATGTGTTTTACATGTAGGGTAAAATATGAGTAGATGAAATAGTTGGTGTGTGATGAAATAAAATGATGAGAGGCCTCGATGTTGATGTTGATCCAGTCATCTAGCGGAGTATGAATGATGAGCACAAACTTTTCTAGGAAGTCCAGTAGAACGCTGGCAGGCTTGCAACCTGTAGGTGTTTGTGAACGATGTGTTCACCAATGTACTCCATCCCCCCATGGTTGCCTTACGGACACTTATGACTGAGGAATCCCCTTAGCAGCAGTGTCCATCCTGATGAAATTCCATAGGATAGGTCCCTTATTGTGACATTCCCAAAATCACGGCCAGAAAAGACTGGTTTAATTTATGCTTTTAAAATAATTTCAAAGTAATCCTCTGATTAAAACAGTTGCGTAATTTGTTCCCAAAACGAAATATGA